TCCGCCCACCCCGCCCGCCGCCTGACTGGAAGCGCCTGGCGGCAGTCTGCCCTGCCCTGCCCGTCTCCGGTCGTGTCCCCTGGGCCAGGAGTGGAGGGCCCCCGCTGGTCCTTGGGGCTTTGCTCCTTGCTTCCCTTTCCCCTTTGCCCCGGCCGTTGGGCAGTGACCGGTGGCCGTTACCCGCTACTGCCGGGACCATCCGCCTTTAATTAGTGCTTATGCCCGTCACCTCTTGGCCTTTTTACCTGCCCTTGTGTGATCTCCCAGTAGTTGTCCTCTGTGTGCACTTCCAGGTGTCGGAAAATCTTCGCTTGTTCACCTCTTATGCCAAAACCAGGTATTGGGAAACCCGTCCTGGACAGTGGGCTGCTCGGTGGATGTTCGAGTAGGTGACATGCCCGACCTCTCGGTAGCCCTAGCTTAACGTGTAAGGGAAGGGAATGGCCTTGACATTTTTTTCTTCTTTTCATTACTTTCCACCCCAGAAAGAGGGTGTGTTGCAGTGTTTTGTTTTGCTGTGAGCTTAATCTTTTGAAGCAAATAGTATTACATATGAGCCAAGCACTTGTGTGAGCAAGTTTTGACCCTACAAGGTTGTCGGAAGCAGACAAGGTACTTGTCATTTGTAGCGCCTCTCCTTACTGCAGTGGCCACTGGTGTGTTACAAGTCATGGAGCGGCCAGTTTAAGGCAGAAGGCACAGAACTCAAAGCACACTTCCCTGAGAAACACTTAATAAACAACGAAATTGTCAGCCAAACATACTGGGGAAAACCAATTTGCTTGTTTAATTTGAGGGTACTGAGCGTGACTATAGGGTTGCTTCTCTTCCTCTCTGCTTATTGCAGGACCTGCTGTTAGAGGAATGGTAATATTCACCTAATAGTTTTTCAGTCCAACCTACAGTCCTCATGGGGCGGTGATAAATGCTTTCTTCCTTCATCGCTCTTTGCTGTATTCTCCTTGAGATGCTATCCTAACCTATGATTCTGTCTTACTATCTATGGGTTTCATCTCAAAGAATGCTAAAATATATTTCCAAAATTTGGGGAAAGAAACATGGCTATCCTAGGTGACTGTGGAGCAAAACTATCTGGCAGATCCTGGGGCAGAAATTGTTGGTTGATTAATTCAGTTGAGATGTCAATGAGAATTTGGAGAGGAAAAAGATGTGGTTGGTTGGAATCTGATGTGGTCACCTGTGTTAATATTCTTGCAGGACTACCATGTGGGTTTTAACAACTGTAAGAAGTCATGACCTTACTTTTTCCATCTGCTTTAGCAACATGTTATTTCTAAGCACATCACGAGGCATTAGTTTTGTTAATATTGAGGTGGAAAGGGTACTCCCTGCTGACTCACCAAGCTCTGCTTCATGTAAGAGTTGTGGTATCCACTGCTTGACTCATTCCATCTCTCTTCTACTTGAGAGATTTGAAATGGTGTGAAAATGAGAACTGACAAATTTTTATCCAAGTACAACAATCCTTTCAGCTGAATGTGTAAGTGTTGTGTGGATTAATTCCTGTGAGCTGGTGCTGTGGTTATGTATAATGTGAATTTTTCATCAGATCCATGACTACAAAGAAGGGACTCCAGAAGAGAAGACCTACTACATTGAGCTGTGGGATGTTGGAGGTTCAGTGGGTAGTGCCACTAGTGTGAAAAGCACACGAGCAGTATTTTATAACTTGCTGAACGGTAAGTTTACTTGGGGTAAATCTGGTTTTATCACTGTTTCTGTTATGAGCTGTCTCTTGGTTCTGGGGCACGATTCCTTTAAGTCTGGCTGAGGGCTATATTGTTCTCTTTTCTGATTCCAGTACATTTATACAGGGAAAAAGCCTGGTACCATTTGTAGGCAGAACTTTATGGATTCAGTTTTGAACTGGAAAGCTGTTTTAGGCAAACCTGTGCAGATGAGCTTCATCAGCCTTTCACTTCAGTCTTGTGCAGCTGGTGCAGCAGGGAGTCTTTGAAGTTGCAAAGTGGGGTCCCTTCCAGCTACACTTGCAGACATAAAGGTTGCCTTCACCTTTGCAGGCCTGATATACATGCAGAAATATGATTTATATTTTCTTGTCTGTTCGGTTCCAAAACCTACAGCAGGGAATTAATTATTTGAATTTATATGAACTTTCATAGTTATATGCTACCCTGGCAAATTTGAACTGTTCTCCCATAAAATTGCAATATGCTGATAACCATCTTGCCTCTGCTCATTTAATTTGCCAAGTTATTTTTAATAATTGAATCTTGCAACTTGCTGTAGATAGAAAGTAGTATTTTATGCCTTCTGTTGAGATACTGACTTAAAAGGCCTAGTAGTTCATCTGTACCAGTAATAAGAGCAAATAAGGATTATAAACTTAATAATGCAGTATTTCAGTTGTTACTTTTTGGCATCCAAGGGTAGTTCACTAAAAATAGATGTATACCAGATAAACAACTGCTTCTGAAAATCTGTCTCAAATGTTCTGTTTGATTTTCATTTCTTGTTCCCAGTCATTTGAGGGTCTTTCAATAATGTGTTTAGCCATACAATAAACATTTTTGCTCTGTGATTATTTAACTCGTTATTTCTTCCTGCTTTCCCAGGAGGAAAACTGTGTGTAGGTACCTCTTGCTTATATTGTTAACCAGACATCTGTAAATAAGACGTGAGTTGAGTTGTGCCCTCAAAGCAAGCCTCTTTGGTGTATGAAAAAAAATGTATTTCTTTTTGACACCAAAGCCACAGTATGCCAATGAGTGTGGGTCAGACTTGGAAATATCCTAGAACGGCCCATTAGGAGATGAGATCTTGAACTTACGTGTCTGAATTATAATTGATGACGTTATTAAAATAGAGTTATTTATCTCCACTGCCCAAAAGATATTATTAGGCAGCTCGCATATGAAAACTGTTGACTTTGGTAGTTAGCCTTGACTCTCATTTCTTTCATTAGATTAATTCCTTCATTACAGCTTGTCTCACAAATTGCCTCTGTTTGACCTGATTTAAGAAGAGACGATGAATGGATTCCTTCTGCCTGACTGCTTGTGCTTTCTGGCCTTGCAGTGGTCTGAAAACCTGAGATCAGAAGGCAGTTAATGCGTGGTTGTGGCAGCATCTGTGCAATGTGTCAGTGACACTTGGCTGTTGACAAGGTTAGGTACGGTTTGCTTTTGGTTTGACTGCAGATCTTCTGCTTTGGTGTCCCTGTATCTGGTGTGTTGACTGTGATAGTCTAGGACAGTGACTAGGCAGTAAGGCTGTGGCTTGCAGACCTTAATGGGGGAGGAACATTTCCTTGAATAGTCATTGGTCCCACCTGCCCTTTTTTGATGTTGACATAGTCTTTTTCTGCTGGTGCAACTAACTGTGTAGGTTTTCAATGAAGCAGATAAGGGAACTGACCAATCAAAAACATAACCGAGGAAGAGTGTCTGGAGGTGGAGAGTGTTTCCCACAGATTACACAGCCTCTGAATCTGTTGCTGTAGGCCAAGTTATGTTGTATCAGGCTTTTTCTCCCTACGCTGGGGGTGGACACGCAGTTGAGTTGCCTTTTTATGCTGTTACTGAGATAAATGCTTTGAAATGGGGCTATGGTTGTGATATGCTGGGAACTCTCATAGGAGAGTCTGTGCACAGTTGTGTGGGGTAGTGGAGAATATTTGTGGAAATGTCGTTTGTTCGTAGTGTGTACAGTGGGTGGCACCTTTGGGAGTTAAGGTGAAAGATTAAATTAATAAGTTTTCTCCACCTGTGGGCTGTGAAGTGTGTTAAGAATGAATGCTGATGAAAATAAGGGGTATAATTCCATTTTGTCCTTGAATTCTTGATGGTTTGAAGTCTGGAGGAAGCGGGAACGTTCCACAGGTTGCAGAAGGTGTGAATAAATAGAAGATATTTGCTAGCAGGAGTTGGTAATTGAGTTAGGAAGTGTGGTTATCAGAAGTGGGTGTCTGTTAATAGCACAGCTAGGAAGTTTGGCTGGCTGTTTTTCTATCTCAGAATTTACATTTTGAAGGATCATGGTAATCAAAAATGCTAGAAGCTTAATCTTAAATACATGAAATCTTGTTAATTCATGTTTCTACCAGCCATTTGATGGACTGTGAAAGTTTATCGGAATCTGTTTCCCCTTTGGATACCTCCCCAAGTATGTAGCATTAGTTCTTGAAAATGCAGGAAAGCAATAGTGCTCTCTAAACTCTTTGAAACAAAGAAACAGCCTTTTGACTTCTTAGATGGCGTGACAAAAAGATAGTTATGTTTACCAATTAGGTAAAACAGAGAAAGGCTAAATTCTCTGCTGCAGTAACACAGAGTTTCAGCATCATTAGACTAGACAGGGAAGAATCAGGGAATGCATGCAAGCCTCTTGCAGATTAAACCCTGAGGTGGCTGTTTGTTTCCTCCTTTCATGAGATTTTTCTCTTAGCTCTTATCCAATTCCTGATAAGCAGCTTTAAAAAACCTGTTGCATCCTGATATTTTCAGCTTTATTCATTCACTGTAACTGAACCGATTACATTTCCCTTTCTTCATTCTCAGATATCTGGGAACCTGCAGATGTCATTTTGGTAAGATAAGGAAAAATACATTCATATCATTAAATTGCGTCTTGCTGCCTTCTCTTTCACTTTAGGGATAATTTTAGTGCATGACTTAACCAACAAGAAATCATCCCAGAATTTGTATCGCTGGTCTTTGGAAGCACTCAACAGAGATGTCGCTCCAACAGGAGTTCTCGTAACAAATGGGTGAGTGAAAAACATGCATGCAGGGTTAAGACACAATAATTCCAAGCTGTTATGGAAGTCTTTGTTCATCCCTAAGGCTGCTTGAAGTCCACATGAAATTAGATGTGGCTAGACTTTTAAGAGAAAAGAAAAAAATGGGGGGTATCAAAGAAAATTGCTGTTCTTTTTGTTTTACACTGCTGATCAGGCCATTCTGCCAGTAGATTCCCAAACTGTATGGCAGAGACCTTGCTTTAAGGAAAAAGATGTTGACTGCGTCCTTCATTTGTCTGAGGCCTCTGTGAGAGTGGGTCCAGTCCCTGATACCTGGAGACTTGTGTCTCTGTACTGACACGTGCAAAGCCCTTGTACAGGAAGTATCATGGGATGGCATGTCTCTGATCCAAAAGGCTTTCCCTCAATGCACCAAGACTGAGGAAGTTCACTTAATTATTTTTTTGGTTTGGGCGGTGGGGGAATTATTTCAGGAGTGTGGCTAAAAAAGAGCTTAGAAAACTCTGCTTAAACAACCTGTTCATAATTAGCTTTCCAACATCTTGTCAAGTGTTTCCTCCTGTATCTCTGTGCTCCTGTTATACATGTAGTCGAGGTTTTAACATCATTGATAAACCTCACACATGATCAGGGAAGCAATATAAGGGGTAGCTTTTTGTGGGAAGAGTATCAGTTGTTTATCTGCCTGTGCTGGTACACAGGTGTTTCTGTAGAAACATGAGAGAAGAGAAAGAGGGCTTGCACTATATAAACTGCAAATTTCTCCAGTTTTTCCACATACAGGTTCTTCACAATTGTTTTAATTTCCAAAAGCTTACCTTCTGTCAGGACAGATGCTCAGCCACTAGCAATTGCTTAGTCAAGTTGTTGCTGTTGGTTGTAAAATTACTTTCTAGAAATCTTGGTTCAGGTAAAAGTGAAAGACAAGTGTGAGGGGAATGATTGGAGCTTGGATTTGTGATGACATTTAATTGCAATATTATTTATTTTATAAAGGCTATCTTTGATTATTATTCATATCTGAATCAAAACTTGTTGGAATTCAACTTGTAGTGGCTACCTTTACTTGAATGTAGAAGAATTAGTAACTTGCCACCACAGAATTGTTATTGCAACCCTCATTGATCTAAGGTGGAAAGGGGTAGTGTTTCACAGTTGCAATTTATTTCATTGTCCCTCCTTAAAAAGTAGGAACTTTAGATGTTCAGAGATGCCAGCTCCCTGATCTGTCTCTGGTGGCTGCATACACTTGGTACAATACTGGAATTCCTGTTTCTTTCCTGCTTGTGTTAGCATTTCTTCTGCGGTTCATCTATGCCGATGCGGTTCATCGTGGTTTCTTTTCTCTTTCCTTTCAATCCCTATGTAGTGACTTAGATGCAGAAGCCCTTCCTTAATTTACAGATACAGCACATTCTCACTTAGATAAATAACGACCCTTGATAAAAATGACCGTTATTTGAAAGGGACAGGGAGCTGATGGCACCCCTGTGCCCACTTACATGACCATCACTTCATTCAGAATTGTATTTGTTTCCCTCATCAGTGACTATGACCGTGACCAGTTTGCTGATAACCAGATTCCACTGCTGGTAATAGGAACTAAGCTGGATCAAATCCCAGAAACTAAGCGGAATGAAGTTTTGACCAGAACAGCTTTCTTGGCTGAGGATTTCAATGCTGAAGAGATAAATTTGGTTAGTATCCTTGGTTAGTTATCACCAGTGTTGTTTTTCTTTTATATGGGAGTGATTCCGATTTTTAGTAAGTAAAGATGTTGTTACAAAAGTCGGGCTTTTGGAGATTTTCTCAGTAATGCTGGAGTCACGCACATTTCGATTGGCCGTCCCCCTCGCTTGATGAAAAGATCGTCTTTGTTTCACTATAGGGAGATATAGGGGGTGTTAGATAAGGTCACTGAAGCTTAGAATTGATGGTTGGGGGTTGATTTTTCTCTTCTCTGTTCTTAGTTCTGACACAGACTATCTTTGAATGAAACATCAAGATCACTTTATTTGTATATATGTATGTATAATGTGTATATATGTGTATAAAAATATACATGTGTGAATGCTTATATGTACACACACATGCATACACACGCATGCACAATCTCATGTGTAGCCTGTACAAATTATTAGCTGACTTTATAGCTGGTGGCAGAAGGAACACATGGAGTGCATAGGGGAGCACTTAGAATTCTCCAGTTGATTCACAGAACAGAAGTTGGCCTTTTCCCTCCAATGACTGTGGAGCAGAAATCAGCAGATATACAGTGTTTTCCCTAGCTGATTGGATGTGCATGTGTCAGGGGAAAGGGTATGTTGATTTCCGTGTGTATGGCTTCCTTGCGTTGATTTCCTTGTGCTTGGTTTGTTGTTGTCTTTTCTGTGTTCTAGGATTGCACCAATCCTCGTTACCTGGCTGCAGGTTCATCCAACGCTGTCAAGCTAAGCAGGTTTTTTGATAAGGTAAGTCAAGTCAATTAAATTATGTTTTGTTGTTCTATGTATTGAACACTGTCTGTGATGTGAACATGGAACAACAGTTAGCTGCTCCTTTCACGTTCCATTTTTTGAGTTGGTTCAAGCCAGGTGTGGGGAGGCCAAAGATTGGTCTGCTTTTGTAAACCTCCAGAAAATAGCTGATCTGCGTGAAGGTTTGATTCTTGATCTGCATAGACCGATGAAAAAGAACTCACAAATGTGCAAAGACGCTATACATATGCTTTTGGAATCCTTTGGGAGGCCGGAGGGTTTGCAGTGTGCTAAGGTGGTAATGTGGGGAGTTACAAGACTATGGTTAGCTCTATTGCTCCTGGTTGAAGCAAACCTTAGGAATTAAGAAATTTGGCATATTACTCTCTCTTCCTGCACAAGAGAGCATCAAGGCCTACTGTGAAAATGACAGAAGGAATGCTCTGGTTGAAACATCCCCTGGACAAAGAGATCATAGTGGAGCAGATCACGTCCTGTAACAGATTATGCTTTAGAGGAAATCTGGCCTGTATTTTCTTTGGAGGAGGGTGTAGATTGTATAGGGTGATACAAATCACTTTTTGATTCTTGGATTGATGGTACTGCCTCCATAGGTATCCTTCAGCACAGACAGTTTGTGCATCATTCTCAGAGAGCGAGTCAGGCTACCTCTTCTGGAGCATCACCTATGCCCAGGGGCTACTCGGAACCACTGGCATGGTTATGCACTTGCAGAATGAGGCTTTGCTAGTGCTCAGAACTGCTGTGCCTGCATGGAAGCGTGGGAACGACTGACTCTGATGCAGTAAGGAGACACCCAAACCATCACCTCCATTACTAAAGAGGACTAACTAAATTAGTTGTGCAGAAGTTGAGGATAACACAGCTTTACTAAGAATGGCTGGAGGTGGCAACTCCTTCTATGTGTAATAGAGCTTTGCACTTAAAGCAGTAGACCTGGAGCAGGGGACATGGATTCAGATCTTGTCCCAGTTAGCAGTGAGTTTCAGTGCTCATGTGTGACGTGTTGATTGGAATCTGAGATTATGCATATGCTGTGCCAGCTAAGATCATTCTCTGTTTTTCCCAGGTCATAGAGAAGAGATACTTCTTAAGAGATGGCAATCAGGTTTGTCATTTTTCCTCCTTTTTTTTTTTTTCGTTTCTCTGTGTGTAATGTGAACTGCTGACAGAGTCCTCTTTAAAACATGGGCTTCATGTGATTTAAATGAATATCTGTGCTGATAATTGAGTTTTTAAATCTGTGGGAGCACAGCTGTTTTGGATAGAAAAATGGCTGACTCTTGTCAGCTGAAGTGTTTGTCTGTAATGTGATTGGCAGTGAAATAATTAAGTGTGCTAACATAGTAGAAGTTGCAAGAGTGAGATAAAATGGGCAAATATGATCTCTTTCAGTTCTGTCAGCTTCGGGCTGCTTGGTTGCAGATTTAGGCCAGAGATGCTGTCCCGAAGGTCAATGAAAAGGCTTTTTTTGCACAGCTGGGACTAGCATTTCATGTTTTGTACAGGTAGTTTTCATAGAACCAGTGGAGCCACAAGGAAAACAGCAGTATGATACCAGCTTGTAATTCATTCCTAAATGATGAATTAACTGTTTTTAGTACAGTTGGTGAAGAACTAGAAAAATGACTTCCCTGGTTTGGGAAGGCCACTTCAACTTTTTGTGCCCCCGACCTTCCCATGTGCAGTCTACTATGCGGAGATTAGCGAGGTTCCATTTACCTCATATATCTGTGAGGTGTTTGCAAATTCCTGTGAATAGCACCACTGAAATACAATCAAATGTATCGTTAGATGTAGCTGTGCTGAAAGCCCCTTAGGGAGTGTGGGGAAAAAAATAGTCACAAATTATGAAATGTTTACTTTCTTTGAGCGTGTTTTTATGCCTTTTAAAAATAAATTTGCTTTTTCCTCTTTCAGTTCTGCATGATGCCTTTTTTCCTTCCCTCTCCCCTCCCCCCCACACTCTAGTGATCGGAAGTCTCCCCTTCATGGGGATAATAGCTTAATGCAGAAATCTGCTTGTGTGCTGGTTGTCTTTAATGCATGATGTAAGATTTTTATTTTTCTTATTTGATCATTTTTAGTGGCTAGCCAGGGATTAACTTTATATTTCTTATGGCTGCGTGCCAAAGATTACAGCCTTCTGATGACTACTTTCATCTGCCTCACTGAAAACAGCTCAAAAGCTTAAAACAAATCTTAAGTAGTGAACAGTTGTATTTAAAGAGACAAAATCCAAATGGGAATTGGAGATTTCATTATAACCTCTTAATGTTATTATTTGAAATTATCTACTTAATGTAAATCTTACAAATGTGTTTGTGGGTTTTCTACAATAGGTCTCTTCGATCACTCGTGTTTTGAGGTATTTCTATTACAGACTTCTTCAGGATGAAAAGAATGATAAGTTTGAAATTGTTGGTAGCTATGACTTCGATCAGATCTCTGATAAATAAATAATTATTACTCTTAATTAGACTTTGATACAAAAAATGCTGAAGCAGATAAGTTTTTAGCTATGGTGTCCTGCTACTTTTTAGTTTTAATGATTGCATTTTTCCTTTTTGAATTCCCAAAGCAGTTTTGATGAGACGAACCTTTGTGCAAAATCTGCCTGATTTTTCCCTTAGAGATGATTGCTTTTCAGAGATGAACAAAATAATTCCTGAATGAATACCTTGCATATCTGTTTGAATTTGGGGCCTGAAAGCCCTAACTAAATTTAAATTGTGGGTTTTTTAGTGGATTTTTATTTTGGGTAAGCTCTTTAGCTTTCTCAGTTTAGCACTGAAGTGTGTAACCTAAGCAATCTACTTTGTATTGTAAATGACATTTTCGTCCCATGCCATCCATACATGCCTATGTTCTCCTGGCGTGATTTGTAGTGCTTGGTTGACACCTTCCTTTTTAATATACTGTATTTCCTGTAAGAGTGTGGAATTGTTTTGGCAGGATGTGTTTACTGGGTCTGCTGTTTCTGCTTGTATGTAGTTAGATATCTAAAAGTTATTCTGGACTGTAATCAAATAGTTTTATGATGCCACCGATAGGACAGACATCTTATACAGTATTAGAAAGCAGTGCATTTCTTTCTTTTGGGGGATTCACAGGTGCATTGGATTGCAAATCTGTTTGAAATACCCTTAAGCCAGAGAAGCTTCTGATGGTTTCAAGTAGATTTTCTTTGTAAACACTCATTGTCAGGGTGTAAGCAGTGTCTACAGATTGGCTGCAAAAGCAGGAGTGCTAATCCTTTGTATTGTTGCAGCCATTTCTATTCTGATGGTTTTCTTAAAGCTTTCAGCAATTGATAAAACTGTACTTTCAACTACCAGTGAAGTGCTGCATAAAGTCTCAACAGCTGTTTTACAGAAGTTGGTAATACTATTTAATAGTTTTAAAAATGAATGGTGGAGAAATTCTTATATGCATTTGAATCTGGGGGGAAATACGGACTTTGAAATCTATAATTAACTGGTTTAGGATTTGCCCAAGAAGTTAAGAAGTTTCATTGTAACCTTTGCCAAAAAGCCTTAAGGAGCTCCATAGAACAAATGAGCCATACTCAAGCTTTGCATCTTGTTTACTTGATGGTGCTCCTCTAGCAGTAAGCTTGAAGCATTTTAGTCCTGATTCGGGAGACAGCGTGGAAGAGGAAGGCATTGTTGCACTTGGCTTGGTAACAGGCACTCGAATGTGGGCTAGAGGGAGCTTATGCTGATTCTGACATGACGACTTACCTTTTCTGTCTCTAGATTCCTGGCTTCTCTGAAAGGAAAAGGTTTGGAGGGGGAACACTGAAGAGCCTTCATTATGATTGAATACTGAAGAAATGGAAGATGACTTCTCCGAGTTCCTAACGACATTCCCATTCCAACTGGATGCTTAAAGACAATAATGCTTACGTCAAGCAGAGTAAAATGATATTACGCTTTGGCCAGGTAGACTGCTGAAGCTACTTTTGCTGGAAAAGACTTGGCGAAGATTTTCAAAAAATCTAATCTGAAGCCGAGAGTGTTTCTTAGGATTGCAGGCTGTCTGGATATATGGGAACATTTGGGGAAAGTGTGCAATAAATTGAATGCCTCTCACACTGCTGTGGGAAACTTTATCATACACAGCACGTATATGTGACACCTTTGTCTCCATTTTGGAAAACTTATGGACAGTCTTTGCAATGAATTACATTCATCTTATCTCTCAAGGAAAGATGACACTGAGTGGGCTTCTCATTTACAGTAAAGAGAACAAAACAAGTGAGCAAAATGTAAGGATGGGTAAGGAATAGTCTGGAAAATAATAGAATGCCTTCATTAAATGAATGGTGTTGTCTCACCTGGAACACACTGTTCAGCCCTATTCAAAAAGAATAAAAGAAATAGGCAAGAGTTGAAAAAAGATTTGAAGCCTTAAAAAGAAAATCATAAGTAGAAAACAAGTGGTATTAATTCTGCTGCTTAAATTAAAATTGTTTACTTTGGAGAGTTCAAAGTAAATCAGGTACTCCTGTTTATGTTTTCAGAACTGAGTGTGGTCTTGTTCTTAATATTAAATTAAAAGGCAATGCATTGAAAGCTGATGGAAAAAGTATGGTTTTATACAGTGCTTATTTGGAACAAATGTGACATGGTCTTACGGTGCCTGAGAGCTTAGCGGATTCAGAAAACATGAAATGTAAGAACATCGTCTGAATTAGAATGGACAGAAATTTAAAAGGGATATAAAGCCTTGTAAAAAGTAGGAACTGAGCATGATTAGAAGGAAAATTCTGTGATAGGGATGTTTCCTTTTCATATTTAGAACTAAGGATAAAGGAGACTTGACCTGGTCTGATGTACTGTGCAAGCTGTTGTTTTCCTAAATAGCCCAAGCTTTCCACGGTTTCTCACCTCCCCATGGTTACATGGAGTGGTAAAAGCCTGATTTATGGCAGGTTCTTCTTTCCCCTCCTTCCTCGCAGTTACCTCTAATGGTTGAGCCTCTGGCAAAGGCTAACTAAGAGCTCGAGTTAGCTATAAATAGAGATTAATAATAAATGGGGATAGAAAAAAGTAAAATGCTGGTGTGAAATTGACAGCGAGCAGAGTTCTGCAGTCTCCAGATTACATCTGCCTGCAGCTTTTCTCTAGCAGCTGCTTGGAAATGAATGGAAAACTGCCTATTGCCACTAATCAGGCACAAAAATGACAGCTAGGTGCACCAGTCAAACTTATTAAAAATATGGTTACTTTGCTTTTCCTTAGACCATTTCCAGAAAGGTCTTGGAGCATTTGCAAGCATGAGTGCAGTGAGTTTTTTAGATGCCTGTATGAAATAGGTTATTAGTTTACATTTACTTTATGACCAGGGAAAATAAGGTACCGAAAAACTCATAGCAGATAACCCATGTCTGGTATGCAGCTCGTGACACCACCAATGTCTCTCTCTGCTCCTTTGACAACGAAAGCTGGAAGTATTTTCTCAAGGTCAGATGCTGTCTTAGGGTAATCAGATCTGGCTTCCCTCCAGTTACCAAGGAACTGCAGAGCGGAATAAGCAAGGGCTTTTTCTAGGGCTATTTCTTCCTTCACCCGATGGCTTCTTTAGGAGAATTGGAAGTGTTGTAGAGTAAGGGAGGCCATTTAGCTTAAGGTGCTGTATGAAGCAATGGTTGTACAGATCTTTCTTTGATTTGGAGGAAGCAACTATCCTAAGTTGACCGCTTTAATTAATCAGAAAAGGAACGCTGCTCAGCATGCTGTAGGGTGACCTAAGCCCTAGTCGCAGCTTACCTGTATTTGTGCATTTCACTCCTGAGGCTCCACAAAGAACAAATGACTTCATATGAGAAATCTTGTGAAGGTCAGTTCACACTCCAGGAAGAGGAGAGAACGCATAGTTCCTATGCATCGGTAAGACTGAAGGTGATGACAATCAGGATTTAGGAGCAAATTAGAAAAAGATAGTGTTGTGACAGGAGGGGAACAAGATAGGAAAAGTAGAGCACGTGGGCAAGCGGTAGAAGGTTAGCGGATTGAAAGAGAAGTTTGCTTGAGGCTGTGGCTCCTGCTCTAAGCTCAGCTAAGTCTGTCTGGGCTCAATCATCCAGCTGTAAGCCATAAAACTTCTCCCAGGATATCTCCATCCACTCTTGAATTGACTTGCTGTGTGGTCTGACAAGTGACTTCGTGGTCAGTCTTACTGTCCCATCTGCAAAGTGAAGGAGGCTTCCCTGGAGGCAAGGCTCCGATGTATCTATTTATCAAATTGTAGTGCTTTCAATACATTGGGAATTAAAGAGTTTACTCTTTTTTATTTTAGTCTGGATGTTTAACTTGAAGAAAATGAGTACCAGAGTTGTTCCAAGTTTTGTGTTGTCACAATATTTTGTCACCAACCTTGACTCTGTCCAACATAAACAAATGATTTAACTTCAATAGTTAGTTTTAATGCACTGAAATGCTTTAGGTAACTGTCATTTGGTTATAATTCTAAAGGTTAAAGGCTAAATTTCTGTGCTGTTCTCCATCAGTAGCCCTGAAAAATGGTTGCAGACCAATCTGACCAGGATTATAGTGCTTTAGCATTTGTGTTCCCTGATTAGAGTAGATTGCTTTGTAAAACACCTGTGTGGGTTTTTCTACGTATTTTACCTACTTTCCTTCTTTTAGTATTTCATCAGGGCCAAGTTAAGGATATTAGCATATTCAAGTTATGTTTAAACATAATCCTGAAATGTCATGGTTTTTCCATGCTTGGGGTTTGGATAATTGCAGTATCCCTGTTCTGTAGTTTTCACATTTACATGACTGGCACACACTGTAGCTCTCTTGAAATAGCTCTATACAATTTTTCTTTGGAGTAGTAGCTTCTGTTTTCCTAAATCTAATGCAGAGGCAGAATGGACTGATAATTATAAATAAGACAAACCATGGGAACTGGCAGAAGCTGTTGCAGGTACCATTAACCTGCTGACTAGGTGTAGTCTGGGATTAGGTGAATCTTTCTTTTTAGTTTAATCAGAGATAGTGGCTCCATACGCAAGTGCCACCAGTTTAGCACCATACCTTGGTTGTACCTGTATTGTTTTCGTGTACAGAGCAAGAATATCTCACACCTGCTGTGGTGTATATGAAATGTCAGGATCCAGCAGGCAATGGGCTATGACCATCCCAGTTCTTTTCATTGACTTTATCCTTACTCACTGCCCCATCCCTTCCGTGCTTCTGCTTTACTTCTATCTCAAAATGTCTGAACATCAGTTTTAAATTGTCACTAAAAAAACCTGTGCTGATCTTTCTCCCAAATATTCATTGTCCAGCCAAGCCCTGTTTTTTGGATCACAGGCTTGAATGTAGTGGTTGTCTTATACCTGTGTTAATGTAACGTTGTGAATCCAACATCTTAGCTATTTTAACGCAAATAGGTCTCCAGTCCAGATCTTATTTGTTTAGATCTCAGCAGGTAACCACAATTATGTATAATTTTTCCTCTTAGGACAAGGTGATGTGTAATGGAGTCGTGTATGTTGATGATGTTACATTTCTTTTTAAAGCAAGTGCTAGCTTCTCGTCAGAACCAGGAGTACATGAGCAGCCAGTCAGCTGCATTGCTGTTTGCCCCTCACCTGTTTTGGCTACCCAGAAAAGATTCACCTCCAATTTTGGGGCTGTGGCATCAAACACTTTCTCTGTGCCACACTTCACTCCTCTGTCTGTGTGGCTCACCTTTCTTTTCTCTGCTCCCTCCAAGCCCTGTGTGACCCTTCTGTCTGTCTTGCCTGTGTCCACCCATGTCCCCCTTTCTCTGTCCCTCCAGCTCCCTTTCTGCCAATTTCTATCCCCCTTTCTCTCCTCACTTCCCATGTCTCACCTGTCTGATGCCTCTGTGTCACCGGGGGTCACAAAGACCCCTCTCTTTGTGCTCCCCCCACTCTGCCCTCTGGTTTCCCCTTTCTTCCCGTGTTTTCTCTCTATTTCTCTCCACCATGCTTTGTCTCTCTTACGGTACTACTTGATTTCTCTCTCTGTCTCTCTGTTTGCCTCTCTCTGCATGTCTCTGTCTCTCTGTTCTCCTACATCTCTCCTTCTCCTTCTGTCTGTCTCTCTGGTCTCTGTCACAGGCACACACATTTCACATCAAAGCACTTTTACCCAGTTCCTTTAAACTGGAGCTACTCAATCTCTCCATGTTATTTCCCAGGCAGAAATACATGCCCAGATGCTGTGTATCAGGTGGTCAGTGAGGATGGCTCATGCAGGTACATTCGAGATCTGTTAGACTTCCCATGCGCACACAGGTGAAATGTATAGCAAATAAACAGCGAGCTTCCCCTCTTCCCAAGGGGCTCAGCAGAGCTTTCTGGTTGATTTATGACCAGTTTGATGACTGAGGGGATAGTCAGAAGCATGAATATGTCCTAAATAAGGAAAATCCCCCAAATCTGCCCCTCTTGATTTCCGTGCAGAAAAGTAAGAAACCCATGGGTACGGTAACCTTAAATTCTTGAGTATATGTTTTTGTTCTCGTAGGAGCAGGTTTGCCTGCTCCTTGCAGCGATCTGTAGCAAAGGTGCCACTGGCTTTAAGCGTGTGAAACCTATCCAGTAACGGGGTTTTGGGTGCAACCTTAATACAAATTTTTCTTATTGATAATAATATTTGCAGAGGCAGCTGCAATATGCTCCATTTGTCACAAATGAGATATGAACTGCTTGTCGTAGCGTGCAGTCAATAGATTTTTCTGTGAGGTATAGTGAAGTGAGGGCTTGAATCCTCGTTTCTCAGTTGATAAGGAAGTGACAGAGTTTACTGATCAAAAACCTGCTTCTGCTTTTCAGCAAAGGGAGCTTAATCCTTCTATTTCTTTTGTTAGTCAGCTCTTCCCATTAGAAGTAATGTTCCTGTCTCACTTTCCTTACGAGGACGCCGGTTACTTTGATTCCTTTATAGGGTTGAGCAAGTCTGTGGCTTAGTGCACTAGTTTTCTTTGACAAAAAGCCATTATCATTATTGATGAACCTGTCACTGGCTGGCAAGTTACCAAAAAGTGCTCAGAGGTAAAGCTTTCCTTAGGGTGTTCTTTGTTGTAGCACTGTGCATTAGTTCCTCAGACAGACACTGGTTTTGGAAAAAAACATGAGGTAGGTGTCAGGTAGGAGAGGGGAAGGAGAACAAAATCAGTCCCAGTCCTCTTTAATTTCAAATGTCCAATCAACTGCAAAGCTCTCCTACCTAGTGAGGGCCTGATGATGTAGCCAAAAGTATTGTTCTTAGTATTATCCACTTGCGCTACTGTGGGTTTATTCTAACACCTGATCAGTAAATCGGGAAAATGTTTCTTTATGATACATGAGAAGAATACCCAATGAAGAAGTTAAGAAGAGTCTTTATCACTAACCGTGGGTATATGAGCAGCGTAAGGGCTTTCCAATTGTGCAGGCAAAGCTGCAATAAACCGTGATTCTCAGGACTTAAGTCTAAAGAGATCTTGAAATTAGATGTAGCTCCCTAAGAGTGAGAGTGATGATGCCTGAAATGGCTAATGGAAGAAAGCAGATTTGTCATTGTTTGGGGTTTTTCAGGGTAGAAT